CAAGGGGGAAAAAACGGAATCCTGGAATCCTGGAATCTTACGGAATCATGGAATCTTACGGAGTTGGATGGAATCTTATGGAATCCGATGGAATCTTATGGAATCCGATGGAATCTTATGGAATCGGATTGAATCCGATAGAATCTTACGGAATTTCACAGAATCATGGAATCTTACGGAGTCGGATGGAATCCGGTGGACTATTATAGAATCTAATGGAATCTCACGGAATCATGGAATTCGATGGAATCCTATAGAACCTTTGAATCTTCAATTCAAAAGCCCTTAAAAATAGTACTATTGCAGTAAAACTTATTCAAATACATCAACAATTAATAAAATGATCTGAGAACATTTATCATAATTTTCTCATTCAGAATTTCTTCTTTTAAAATCTTGAAGTTGCAAATTAATCTCTTTCGGTATATATTAGGTTAAGATCAGTAAACAACAAGAAAATAGAATATAATTCATAAATGTCAAAACGAAAATGAAGAAGATTTGAATATAAACATTACAAAAAAATGCAATACCAGAAGGAGGATTGACGATTAGATCACTCCTACTTCAACATAATGTCACGTATTTAAAAACAGTGAAATAAATATTGAATATAAATTCTTAAATAAAACGCTTGTCATTTGTATATAAATATCATAGCAATACACATCGAATATATCTATACATAGAAGAGGAGCAGATAGAGATATGAATAACGACAGATAAAGTAAACAAAATATATGAAATTTTTCATTTATTTTTTTTTACGAATTTTCAACACGATTTATGTCATCATCAGGTTCAAAGAAAAAAAATACAATAGAAGAGATATATAAATTCGAAGTTCAACGAGTGATTGATCTTGTCCATAAAATAATCTAGATCATTTTAAAACACTAATGTTTCAAATGCATCAATGTTTTAAATGGATCTAGATTATTCAATAGACAATACCAATGACTCATAGAACTTTGAATTTATATATCTCTTCTATTGTATTTTTTTTCTTTGATCCTGATGATGACGCAAATCTTGTCGAAAATTCGTAAAAAAAATAAATGAAAAATTTCATATATTTTGCTTACTTTATATTTTGTCTTATAAAAACTCTATTTATAACTCAAATCTTAGATATTAATATAAAACCGCGAAAAGAATGTTATTTTTTATGTTTTTTTGCTGATGATTGTGGCGAATTTGTTGTTTTTAAACTCGACAAATAGCGTTTAGTACCGCTTGTCGTTGACAATGATACTATATTTGTTTGAAGTGATTGAGATGTTGATTCATTTATTGTCATATTTGATAATGGTTGTTGTGATGTTATTGATGACAATGCTGTTGATTGATTATCATTAGTGTTACTATTGTTATTATTACTACTGGTATTATTTGATAGTTGTTTTTGTTGATTATGTTGCTTTATTTTTTCTTTCATCATAAAACATGTTGGAGATCTTAAATGTTTGTAAAAATTGGTAATTTGAAATTTACCATCTCTTATTCTTAATCGGATTCGAGTACCACATCTACATTTAATGGCACCATCAATAACATTATTATTATCTGTTATACTTATTGTATAATCAACATCTGGTTTCAATTCTAATTCATCAAGATGTAAATTTTCTTTACTATTTTCGGTCCATTTCTTCACTAAGCTTAGTATGAATTGAATGTGTTCATCTTTTGTTGTTAATGGAAGTGTTCTTGAATTAATTTTTCTTAATAGTGGTGGTTCTGAATAGCTTTTTGTTTCTAATGATGGTGAAGTTGAATTAGTTTCTGTTGATAATGATGGTGATGTTGAATTAATTGTTGTTAATGGTGATGCTGGTGAATTAGTTTCTGTTGTTAATGATGGTAATGTTGAATTCATTGTATTTGTTAATGGTAATGATGCTGAATTATTTTCTGTAGCTAATGATGATGACATTGAATTAATTTTTGTTGTTGTTTTTTGTGGATTTCGTTTTTTCTTATTTTCTTCTTCTAATTTCATTGATAACAATTTATTTAAGTATTTGAAATTGTTTCTAATGCCTATTTTAACATGATATGTACCATCACGAAACGCAAATGAAATCTTTTTTCGTAAAGCATCTATTTCTTCTGATTCAACAGCAAGTTCTATAATATCACAAACATCATCACTTAATAAAAAAGATGGTATGTTATTTATAGCTTGTATTTTCAAAAGGTCAGCTGCTGATTGACCGAGTAATTCTTCTACAAAATAATAAAATTTACCGTCAGTATATGATAATACATCATCTGGTAAGTTATTTGTATTAAATGAATATGCTGTTGTTATATTATCCACCATAATCGAATCAAACACTTATTATTGGATATTGTTTTTGGAGTTACAAATAATTGAATGCACGAATAATTCAAATAATTCATACAAATATTTGATCCGGCAAAAACAATTCGTAATGCCGCACAAAACCATTTGCTTCATGAATGACCTATTAGAAATTAACTTTTTGCCTCCTTTTTTCATGTTAACTAATCCATAGTTTCTTCGTGTATCACTGACATAAAGTCAATTTATGTGGATTAAGTAGCAAAATATAGAGACGTACACATAAGACAATTTTATATTTCTTTGCCAACAGAGATGGGACCGGTTCAGTTCGGAATTTTGAAAACTTCAATCGGTTCGGTTAGGTTCCTACAAAACACGAACCTATTCCATCAGTGATTGCCAATAAAAAGTTAAGATTAAAGGCATCCTTCTTTTCTTTATATTTAAATAGACACCTGTTATACTTCTCATTTCTTTCTTTGATACTTTTTTATATTGAATCCAAAAATATGCAGGATAGCATAATGATGGCAGAGAGAAATGAAAGAAAGAAAATCATCACTGACATACGTAATGGTATGAAGCTAAGCGAAAGTATTCTTTATGCCAGGAGAAAGATCTTCTCACATAAGAACACATCATTGTATCTCGTTTGTTATTCTTTTGCCATAGCTTGATTTACATCTGTAAGTCTTCTGATCGCCTGTCAGAAACATTTTTTTATTATTCTATCGTAGTCGAGTATCATATAATAAAATGGTTATCTTTGAATCTTTCACTTTTTTTATCCTTCCTTGATGTAAAATAGATGTGTTGTTTTCTTTTCAAGATATTTTATTTGAGAAGCAATGTTTCTATTATTCTTTTGTAAAATTATGTTTTCTAGCAGTACTGACAGATATCAACCAATAAACTTGTTAAAATAGGTACTCAATTAATGAATATATCAGTTTAACATTGAAAATAATTTTCATGGCAATTACATACTCATATTTCTTTATATTTTCCTAGTATTATACCGTCAGTACTTATTTTTAGTCATTTTAGATTTATATATCATTCAACTTAAAAGCTTTTCAAATGAATAGCAACGATAGATACGAGTTATCCACCTTACCTGATAATGCTTTATCATTGAAAGGTGATGAGTTTTATAAATTTATACAATCAGTAGTAGGAGAACCATTACATGATATTCTTAAAATCCAATTGATTGATTCAACACAGTCATTTTTGGACACAAAAGATATATTTGAAATATTTAAGTATGATTCACCTGATTTATTTGAAATAAAAGCAAAGTCATGCTTTAAAATAAATGGTGAATATGTGATCAAAGCTGGAATAAAAAATAGTTTAACATATTTGATGAAATTATTGAAAACAAAACAACAAAAATTAATAAATAATAATAAAAATACCCATCGACAAATTTCTTATGAATTACTAAATAAGAACCCTGTATTAAGATCATTAATTGATTGGTATGAAGAAAACGAAAATACGAATCCGAATAATAATAGTAATGTTAAACAATCATTTTTATCATCATTTATTGACAATATAACAAACAATCTGTCAAGAGAAAAAAGAAATTATCAATATAGTGAGTCTGTTAAACGTTTTGCATTATTATTATATATATTAGGTGGTAAACTAACCTATGAATTACTAAGAATAAATTTAGTTGGTGCACTTCCTAGTTTGGTGACATTAAATAGATTAATATTAAATTCAAATAACATTATGAATGAAGGTGAATTTCAATTTGATACATTGAAACAATATTTAAATTCAAATAATGTACAATTTGGTTTTGTATCAGAAGATTGTACTGGTGTTATCCGTAAGATACAATATGATGTTAGGACAAATTCTTTCATAGGATTTTCAACTCCACTTGATAATGGGATACCAATTTCACAACACTATAAAACTGATTCGTTTGAAACATTGAAGACTTGGTTTAGCTCGATAAAAAAAGCACCACTATTAAACATACATATGTTTCAACCCTTACCATCAAATCGTGCAAGTTTACCAAATCCATTTTTATTATCTGCCTACGGCGTTGAAAATACATTTACAGCAAACGATATTTTACGCCGATGGTTATTTATTTATGAAGGTTGTATAAAAAAGCAAATTCGAATTATAGGTTTTTCCTCAGGTAAAATATCATTTTTCAAAATGCATTTCCGTGTATTTTGTTTTTCGATAGATGCTGACGGCAAATATATGAGAGCAATGCGATTAGTAAGTGGGTTTTTTGCATCTTTACCGAATTTTAAGTTACATCAACATCCAAATGCATTTAAAATAAATTTAACATCAGAATGGCCTTGGTTTTACCTTCGCCAAGAACAACTATTCTTATTTTTACAAGATGCAACACATTTGGCTACCAAATGGAGGAATCGTTTATTATCATCAACAGCTCAATTATGTATAGGTGAACAAATAATTACTATCGAGCATCTACAAGATATTATTGATAACGATCAATATACAAAATTAGATCATAATTTAATTCGGACAGATTTAAATCCGAAAGATCGTCAAAACTATCGATCATGCGAGAGATTAGCATCAGATGATGTATTAAATCTTTTAAAAATGAATACTAATACACAAGGAACATTTGTTTATCTTCAACTATTACAGTTAATAATAATAGCATATATTGAACCAACAACACCACTCAAAACACGTAAGTTGCCAGAGCATTTTATGATTATTCCTAACAAAATCTTGTAACTGCCATGTATTGTGCTTTTATATTTTCCTTTGAATAGGAAAAAAAATTAGAATTCATTTGATATAACAGTAACTTCAAAGATTAATCAATCAGCTAATGAACTTTTTTTTGATAATATCTCAAAACGTAAAAGATCTAGAACAGTGTAATTTTTATCATTAGAAAGATCATTATTTGTTTTTTTCATGCTAAAAATGTAGTACTTTTGCTAATCTATTTTGTGATATATGATACAAAAAAGAAACGAATTTTGTCAACTAGGTGATTCATTTTTGATGCTCACGTAATCTTTTTTCTATTAGGTTTAAAATCAGCGTGGATAACTGTTTTTGTCTGCCGTTTATGGTTAGCATGGCTAAAAAAGAAAATATTTAAAAATCAATCATCAACATCAATAAATAAAGACACACATTTTATAACAAGAACAGCGTATTTATCAGTAGAGTTAAATGCTCATAATTTATTATATCTGATATTATTAGTCCAACAACAACAATTACCAAAAGAATCATTGCATATTTTTTTATTTAATTCACAATCTTGTGAAGGAATGTTTCGAAATGCACGATCGTTAAGTGGTGCGTATTCAACAATTGTAAATTTTACAACTCATGATTTCCTTCGGCGTGTTGCAAAATTATCATTACTAAATCAAATAAAATGTGATGAATTAACAAATCAAAGTGGTGAACACATATCATTTCCAATTCATCATAAACGTAAAGCTGACAATGCTTTACCTGTAATACAAGAATTGGATGATGTTGATTATTTGGATATAGAACAAGTTATATTAGAATCATATGAAGCATCAATTGAATTAATTGAAAATTTAGGAATAGCGACATCATTAAAAAAGCATCAAATTTATAAATTAGAAAAATTAAGTAAATTCATGTTTAATGAATTAAATTCAAAGTCAAGAGTGTCTGATAGTTTAACAGGAACAATAAACATTGATGATGATATGAGTTCAGAATCAGATGATAATGAATATGAAAATAATAATGGTGAAGACAACGATTATAATAATAGTAGTGATGAAGATGAGGACGCTGCATCTGATAATGAAGAAAATGTTGAACGTATTCAATCTGTAAAAACAATTTTTTCTGGAACACGTATCAAAGATAAAATTAATCCTGATTTAGCAAACTCATATTTCAGGGTGAAAATTAATGATACGACGAAATTTTTACATAAACAGTCAGCAGTATGGCTGCTCACTGACAAAAATGATCGTCTGTCAACCGATAGGTTATCACGAGTTATGGAAGGAAGCAAGTAAAATTAAATAAAAAAACTATTCGAATATTTCTGTATATTGAAGCATCAATTATATGATTATTGATATTAAAAAAATATATAAAATTTTTCATTAATAAAGAATGTCATTGATGCAATTATATGCTTCAGCGTCTGATAAGATAAATCGATCAGAATCTATTGATAAATAAATGAAGAGATCAGTTCGGTTACAAAGCTTATAGTGGAGGTAATGTGATCCTATGAGCTACAACTTAGCAAACAAATAACAAGTCATCGATAAACACATGCATCAATAACTCCAATGATAGAATAAAGAAAAACGAAACAAAGATATCAGCATGGAAACTTGATCGGGATACAGATGCAGTTCTTTCACAGCTTTAGAGACTTATTGAAAATCGAAAAGAATTTTAAGGAATACAAAAGAATCCCATGGAATCCTAGGAAGTCCTAGAGAATCCTGTGGAATCCTAAGGAATCCCAGAGAATTCCAAAGAATCCTAAGGAATCCCAGAGAATCCCAAAGAATCCTAAGGAATCTTGGAATCCGGAAGAATCACAGGGAATCTTTGGAATCAAGAAGAATTCAGGATTCCAGGATTCCGTTTTTCCCCCCTTGGTTTTATAGGAATCAACTGTACCAAGTGACACTCGTTCAACAAAAGGTTGTAGAATCAACTGTGCCAGAACCAAAAGATTAAATTTATTTAAGAAAAAAAAAATCTTAAATTGAGCTTTTATTTTATTAAGTAGAATATCATTATACCAGTGATGGTGCCCTTATATCAATGGGTCATGATGTTCTATCAGGTGCTCGAAAAACTTCATTCTTGTACAATCAATATATTGTCTATGATGTCGATCAAATTAATATGAAACATCTTGTGCGTGACAATTTTGTATATAAACGATAATTCAAAATTTCTTTTATTTTTCTCGGAGTTCTTTAGAAATAATAAAAGACGAGTAGCGTTAAAACCACTTTCCGGTGGAAAATATTTCCAAGAAATAACTGTAGGGTAGTGACTAGATCGATTTGGGCTACAAATCTCGTACGATCATTTTGATTGAAATCATTTCCGAATTTTTCGATCGTTGTCTCCCAGGCGACGATGCAAAACAAATTTCAAAATTTGCTTTTTTAAGTTGTTGGGGATATTAAGTCAATCATGCTGAGCACAAATAAGATGTGAGCGCAGATTGAAGAGAATATCTACACCCACATCTACACCCTTGTAATGGTGAATTTGATTGTTTTGTTTAATATCAAACGCCTTCGAAATCTGATCTTTTCAACTCTAAAATACAGAACTTGAAAGAAATCTCTTTTTAATGTGTAAATCGTTGATGAATTTTACAAGCATTTTTATTCATTCAACAGAAACAAAAGATTTGTTTTTGTATTCAACATCATATTTTGTTAATAAAAATAGTAAAACATCAAAAACTCCATACAGACTAGTATAATTATCGATCGAAATGCAGCTAAATTCAATATATTCAATTGAAAAAAACAAACATTCATAAATTTCCCTTGCATGTTGATAATACCGCTGAATCATACTGATAAAATTGAATTTGTTAGTGTATGAGGAACTTTCCAGCTATTTATTGAATAGTACAATAGTAGATAAAAATATGAATCCTATCCTGAGACTTTTGTTAGATACTCTATGGGTTCATCTAAAGATGGATTTGAAATAGTAATTGAATTAGTTATTTTATGCAAACAATAATAACTCGAAGTTACAATTTCTAAATGAGCTGAATGCATGCAAAGAGATGTTTCATGAAAGAATTTTCTAAGTGCTTCACAGCTTACAAGTATCGAGTACGTACTTTTGAGCTTCTTCTAAGAATCCTCTCTATCCAACTTGTTTTTGCTCAACTTACATTCATTGTGTATATTAGACCTTTTTATTAAATTTCTTTTCAAAAATCAAGAACTAGCGAAGAATGATGGATTTGTATTAGAAACCAATCTATCTATATATATAAAGAAGAATGTCTGTTTGTGTGTTTGTGTGTTTGTTTGTTCGCGATGCACTCAGTCCCTGTAATAGCTAGCGTCAAGAAACTTTCCACGATTCTTTTATGGATCCTGGGAAAGGTCGACATGTATTTTTTTCCGAAAAAAAACGAATCCTACCCATGCTACAGGCGATCTATGAAACCGACCAATAGGGTTGCAGCATTCGGTACCATATAACTATAACTGAGCTCAACTTCATGAACACACAGAAAACATGGAACTAGAGGTTTCCGAGTGCGCTGAGTTCGAATCCGGGATACATTTCCCTCCAAATCTAATTGGTTGTTTGGAAACCAATAGGAATTCAGTTCTTAAAAAAATAGAGCCAAACACATATACAATGAAGGAAATGATGGGGTACAGGGTTTTTTGGGGCGACGAGTTCGAATCTGAGACCCATTCGCCTCGAAATCTGATTGGTTGTTTGGAAACCAATAGGAATTCAGTTCTTAAAAAATAGAGCCAAACACATATACATTGAAGGAAATGATGGGGCACAGGGTTTTTTGGGGCGACGAGTTCGAATCTGAGACCCATCCGCCTCGAAATCTGATTGGTTGGCCGAAAACCAATAGGAATTCAGCTTTTAAGAAAACGGGCCGAAACTCTTATACCTCCAAGAAAATGATGGGACACGGGGATGTAGAGATTGTGAGCTCAAATCAGAGATCCATTTGTCTCGAAATGTGAGTGGTTGTTTGGAAACTAATAGGACTTCAGCACTTAAGAAAATAGACCAGAACACTTATACTTTGAAGGCATTGATGGACCAGGGGTTTTTTCGAAATGGTGAGTTCGAATGTGAGGTCTATTTGCCTGGAAATCTAATGAGTTGTTTGGAAACCAATAGGAATTCGGCTACTAAGAAACATAGCTAATCAATCTTTGGTCGTTAGGAGAAAAGTCAGGTAAGGACTTTAGAGGCAATGAGTTCGATTCAGGGATTTAAGCACTGAATGTGGGTATAGGGTATGGAAGCGAGTGTCTTCTTCTGTTTATATAAATAACAATTTTTGTCTGTCTGCTGTTTGTACATTTGGTGTCGGTAATAACTAACGCCATCAAAATTTCCATGATATACTCTTTAGTGGAGAGAAAAATTGAGAGTAGATTGGCGCGACAGACAAGGAAAGGAAGGTAATCGAATGTAATGCCACCGAGGCTGTGAAAATTGGAAATTCTCTAATTTCTATCTCTAATGTACGATCAGAAAAAGCATGTTGTCAGGCTGTCCAAAGAGTGAGCATCTATTCATACCATGAATATTCATGGTTGTTACAGATATACCGTTTGAATTCAAGCTTCTTCAATTTGCTGTATGTCTTGCATTCGCAGTGTCTATCGACAAGTCTCGAGAGTAATTACTTAAGGTGGTCGGCACTAATCTATGGAGCCCTTGCCTTTCTCATGGCCAACTTACCTTAGCATGCTGAGAAGTTGGAACTGGGAAGAATTTGTTTATTTTGGCCCCTGTTGCGAAAATCGAGAAGGTTCTGTATCAAAAAGCGTTGCAATAGAAGTTGTATTTCGGTAAACGGTCTTTTGTAATAAAAGAAGTCGATCAAACAAAAAGAACACTGAAAAGGATAGAAATTTTTTTTTAAATTAAAAATGTGGAAAACATCAGTTGAAAAGGGAAAGTGATCTGAACATATTTCGCGATATCGAATTCCAATAATTTATAGGAGATCATAGCGACGTCTTTTTCTAATATGTCAAGTATATATTAGAAAATTATTATGACTACCATCGGGTACCTCCGCTAGT